TGCCGCCATGGTAGGTGGCCTGCGCATGCGCGGCCCCGCCCCTCGGCGTGCGTCCGACCCCCGGGCCCCCTGACCACGCCTACCTGCTCTACTGCGCTTGCGTGCCGGGGCCGCCGGCCGACACCTGCAGTTCTAGCTCGGGGCTCCGAGGAGGTGCAGGTCTCCCCTGCACCGGTCTGCGTGTGGGGGCCCCTTAGGTAGCTCGCCCGAGGCCACCTAGCTGCTGAGTGCAGAGGCTTTGATTCCAGCTTGCGTCGTAGGGCTTTAGAGCGCGTGCTGTTTAACCAGCACGACAGCTATTTATTAATTCTTGTTATTATCTTTGCTCTTAGTACTCATTATGAATAATAGCTGGTAGTTATTTCATTCATTCATCCGCTCTTCAAGTCCCCAATACCAGGCGAAGGAAGAATCTCAGTCTTAGTGAGAGTCTAATAGGAAATGAAATCCGATACAAATGTTGCACTTCAAGTGAATTTCCAGGCACCCAGGGCCACAGATGTAAAATGTGTTTGCGCGTGCAAGCACACAGGCACACAAGCACGCATGCCCAGCGCCTCAGTTGGCTCTCTGTCTGAATTGTTTTTAAATAGAATTCTCTCTTCAAGACAAAAGAGGGTAAACACCAATTTCATGGTTACTATAGATAAAACGCGCGGGGTGGGGTGTGTTTGATAGGGTGACCAAGCAACAGAGATTTTTTTATTTTAAGCAAACAGACTGTGTTTCCTGAGCCCCCCAAGACAGTAAACGGAGAGCCAGCTGGCTGTCTTGGGAAGCCCTTGTAGTCCTGGTCCAGTTGTCCCCAGAGGAAGTCACTGCTGGGAGGGCATGGAGGAAGGTGGCTCTGTACATCATTTCTGAGTCTCAGTTATTGACAAGCCACTCTGTGGGCCCCTCTGCCAGTGAGTTCTTCCTTCATCCACACAACCACCCCTGGGGTTCAGAGAGGTGAAGCGCCTCATTCAAAGTCACCCGGCTCCAAGTGGCAGAGCTGGGGTGCAGACTCAGGTCTGGGAAGCGTCCCAGTGAGTCTGTTGGATGGAGCCTTAGAGTGAAGGGCTGTTTTAGCAATAAAGCAGGTCTCTTCCTCTGAGGGTCTCCTCCAGGGCTTGGAGATGCAAGGATTATGGTGCTAACTCACACATGCTGGAACGTACATTACCACTGCTGCCTGGGCTAGTGACGTCATGTATGCAACGAAGAGAAGGTGGACAAACTGCCAAATGCGCGATAAGAAGCCGGCTTGCAGGAAATTGCTATCAGGTGATTATTATTAGCTTGGGTATCCAAAACAACTCCCTTTTTAAATGTCATGTTTACCAAACACTTGATGTGTTTTCTCAATCAGCCCTAGAAGATTTTGTCCTACTGGAGAGAGAGCTGGTCCCCTGGGACTGCTCAGATAATTATAATCTGTCCCCTGCCTCACACCAGCTTCTAACAGCAGCTGCTACAGATGCACAGGGATTGCTTCCCTGGTTCCTGGTTCTGTGTGGACAGGCACCAAACTGACCTTCAGGTGGTTCAAATCCCCAGCTCAGCCACTGATCACATCCACTCCTTCAATACATAATTTTGGAGAGCTCTTCATGTGCTAGGTACTCCGGCAAGTTGTTTTACTTCTCTGAGATTTAATTTTCTAATTTTTCTAGTAGTGATAATAATACCTACCTGGAAGTGTTGTGCAAATGAATGAGATATAACACATGGGAAGTTCCAGGCATAAGTCTCCTCCACTTCTTAAAGTGATCTGACAGTCCCTGGTATATTTTAAAGAACCCAGCAATTTCATTAATTTTACCAAGTCATATTGTTAGATTAAAAGAAAGCAAGTTGCAGTGTCATAATACTATATAATATCAGTTACATAAGAGAAAAAAAACTCACAAGATACTGTATTTCTCTGGGCCAGCATGGCTCAGTGGTTGGGTTGAGTATGGACCTATGATCCAGGAGATCACAGTTCGATTCCCAATCAGGGCACATGCCAGGGTTGCTGGCTTGATCCCCAGTAGGGGTTGTGCAGGAGGCAGCTGATCAATGACTCTCTCATCATTGATATTTCTATCTCTCTCTCTCCCTCTCCCTTCCTCTCTCTGAAATCAATAAAGATATATTTTTTAAAAGTTAAAAAAAAGATACTACATTTCCTCAGGATGTGCATGTTATGTCAATGCACAGAGAAAAGTCTGGAAAGATGCCTTCAAACTGAAATGGTTTCTTCTTGGGGGCGGGGGCACAGATGGGGGTAAGTCCAAGAAGACTTTGTTTTAATTTTTGAAGAGATGTATCAGTGTTACTTGTATAGTTAGACATTTATTTAAAAATGAAAGTGCAAAGGAGCTTTCACCCTTCAAATGTGGGACAATATGAGCATTGAAAGGAATAGTAACAAGAATAAAATAATAAAAATCACCTATGTAAATGGCACTCAAACAAATGGGCCTTTATCCCTTTGGACTGCTCTAACAAAATATCATAGACTGTGTGGTTTATAAAGGATAGAAACGGATTTCTCACAATTCGAGAGGCTGGAAGTCCAAGGTGAGGGTGCCAGTGTGGTCGGGTTCTGGTGAGGACTTCTCAGGTTGACACAGACATTCAGACCATAGCACGCAAATGTTTATACGAACACTATGATAGCACAAAAGTTGAAAGAACCCAAATGCCCATCAACTGAGAAATGGGTAAACAGAATGTGGTAATCCATATAATGGAATATTTTCCAGCTGTAAAGTGGACCAAAGTCCTGATACGTGTTACAGTGTGGATGAGCCTTGAAAACGTGATGCTAAGTGAAATAAACCAGACCCAGAAGGCTACATATATGATTCTGCTCATATGAAATGCCCAGAATAGATAAATCCATGGACACAATAAACAGGGAAGTGGTTACCAGGGGCTGGGGGAGAGGGAGTGAAGAGTGACTGTTCAATGGGTACGAAGTCTTCTTTTGGGTAATGAAAATGTCTGGGAACTAGATAGAGTTGGTGGTTGCACAACATTGTGAAAATACAAAATGCCACTGAATCATACAAGTTACAGTGGTGAATCTTTGTTATGTGAATTCTACTTTAATAAAAAATCCATGAGTTCATAATGATACTAAAATAAAAATGTTAAAGAAAGGGGGTGGATGGGAAGCTGCAATGAATGACTGTGGAAAGATGGATAGAAATAGAAAAGCACTCTTTAAGTCATCATAATAATGAGTGGGCCAGACAAAAGTCTTTAATGGATGCTAAAACCATTGGGAGGAAGACCGTTGTGGGACAGGATATTCACACAGGCCTTCGTCTGACCATGCTGGCGCCCTGATCTCAGACTTCCTGTCTCCAGAACTGTGAGAAATAAATTTTTGTTGTTTGTAAGCTATTCAGGCTGTGGTATGCTGTTATGTCAGTCTGAACGAACTAAGATATAACTTACATACCATAAAATTCATCATTTAAAGTGTCAAATCACTGGATTTAGTAAATTCACAGGTTGTACAACCATCACCACTATCTAATTCCAGAACACGTTCGTCACCCCAAAAAGAAACTCTGAACTCATTAGCATTCACTCCCCATTGCCCTCTTCCCTGGCAACCACTAGTCTACCTCTGTCTCTATAGATTTGCCTCTTTGGATATTTCATATAAATGGAATCCTACGGTATGTACTATTTTGTGTCTGGCTTCTTTCACGCAGCTTGAGTTGTTTCCAAGCTTCATCCATGTTGTAGCATGCATCAGTACTTCATTCCTTTTTAATAG